GACGCGCACCAGTCGAGAGAGAGAGAGAGAAAGAGAGAGACAGAGAAAGAAATTGCCATGCCGCGGCGCGTCGGTCGCGTGGCAGTCATTTACGAACAATCTAGAAAGAGAGAGAGAGAAAGAGAGAGAGAGATCACTCTCCGCCGCAAGGATGTGTTCGCAATTGCACGCAGATCGCTGATCCGCGCCGCGAGGGTGCGTCGCGAACGACCGACGCGCACCAATCGCGAACGAGACTGGCGGCATCCAGCCAATCGAGACGTACGACGCGGGTGCGTTCGCTGACAAAGTCGACAGTCGCTGACGAACGATCGAGAGAGAGAGAACGATCGCGAGAGAGAAACCACGAATGCGGATAGCAGGATGACCGAAGAGGTATCGCGAGAACGCACCGCATATCGATGTCGCCGCGAACCGCGCGTGACCTCGACGCCGTCGCGAACCGCATTGCACATCGACGCCGTCGATTAATCGCGCGAGAGGGCGACGCGCGTTCGCCACTGCGCTTTGCTGGACAAAATCGCGAACGTACGACACGCGCGCCAATCGAGAACGCCAATCGCGACGCTAATCGGCGTTCTCTCTCTCTCTCTCTCTGCGTGTGTGTTTTGTGTGTCTTTTTCTACAGACGACGACGCGATACTTCCTCTCCGGCCGCGATCATATCTCTCGCAGAGTCATGCTCCCCCGTTTCACTCCGTCCTCCTCCGTCGGCAATAGAGGTGGTACTACTCCCCCCCCGCAAGTGGAATGGATCGAAAGAAAACCGCAATCTCTCTCTGTTTTTGTTTCGCTTTAGCAATCGCCCAATAGCAAAGAACGGAAATTTGTACACGCGCGCATCTAGACCTTGCCGACGCGTGGAGAATCGCACTCTAAGAGAGAGAGAGAGAGAGAGAGAGAGATTATATATATATATATATATAGATTAGAGAAGCGGTCCTCTCGTGCAGCGTCTGATGGGAAAGAGATAGAAAATGGCGAGGGTCATTCATCCTTTTTTATCGCGCAAACGGGCAATTTATTTTATCCGTCTCTCTCAATGTACCCACGAGCGTCTCTAGTTTGACCACGCACCTGATTTGATTGCGCCGCTGGACCAAGCGGCAAAGCTTTTCTCACTACGCTCCTCTCCGGTATTTCCTTCTCCCTATACGGGCCGTTGATAGTAGTAGTGGTAGTAATAGTAGTAAGGAGATACGACAATGAGGAGACGTGAGTTTGAATATAGAAAAAATAAACTTAATACCAAAAAAGCGGGGATGGCAGTTAAGCGAGATCTCGCGGTAGAGCGCGCGGTGATGACGCGATATTCAAAGCGCCAAACTTTTCCCAATTATTTAGCGCCTCTCTCTCTATCTATCTCGAATCGAGTCGAGCATAGTCTACGCGAGATCTCGCGTCGCGCGGTAGAGTATACGCGATGTATGCGAATAGCCAAAATTGATCGCAAATGCTTTTTTTCTTTTTTTTCAGGAGGTAAAACTGTCGCCTGCAATAGAGAACAGGCGTTGAGACGGATAACTCAGCAAGACGTCAAGAATTATATTCCCGATCGTTATTTCGTCAGAGGAAAGAAATACTTTCGGCACGGAATGGTGCGCATCGTCGAGACGTCCAGCGAACGTGCACAGGCAACGGATGGCGCGGACAATCGCGTCGCCGAGGCGAGAGTTGTGGGTAACGCGGTGTATCGAGTGAAACTGTGGTACAGGAGGAGGAACGAGCAGGGTCATCCGCCGTTCACTCTGGACGGACGATGCAATTGTCCGGCGTTCGCGGTTCACGGTCCGTGCAAGCACATG